TGATGCTTTTCTTTTAGTAAATTAAGTTATTCGGAATCGGTTCGATTATTATAAATTGAAAAAGGAAGGAGACATTCAAAATTAAATTATTAAAAACAGAAAAAGTGAAAATAATAAACTATTAAATAGAAACGAAATTAAGATAAAAAAACATTTATTGGTAATGGTAATATTAATAGATATTGTTATAAATTGTTTTATAGATAATAAAATAAAATGATAATCAATAGAAAACAATGTATCAATGATGGTAAAAATAAAATTAATAGTTGATATAAGGAATTGAAACTTTTAAAAAAATCCATTTTAACAATTTCGGCGGAAACGTTTTGCCAAAAACATTTTAAAAGAAAACGTCTACGGAACTTTTTTGTAATTTTATTTATTAAGTTAACTTTTATTTATTTAAGTTTCAAGCAATTTATGTTTAAAACTTAAAATGGATTTTTTTTTTTTAAAGTTTCAAGTCCTCATATTAAGTATTAATTTTATTTTTACCGTCATAGATATATTGTTTTCTATTGATTCTTACTAATTTTATTATATATAAATGAATTTATAATGGTATCTATTATTGTTACCATTACCAATAAATGTATTTTTATTTTAATTTGGTTTCTAAGCCATAGGATTCCGCACGAATCCAATTATTACAATATAAAATTCTTCATAAAATGCTCCTTACATTGTCAATAATAAAATCATCAATAGCAACCTTAATGTTCCCTGTATTTCCGATTTGGCCCAATCTAGATACCTATCTTTCCATAATAATCTTCAGAACCATCCGAACCCTTTCGTTTTTAACCTTGCTTCTTCGATCCCTCCGAGGCGTCTGAAAAGAAGTCTCCTGTTTTAAATACATTTTTTTAGAGTGCTACCAGTGGGTAGTTTCTCAATAAGTGTTTTCATGTTATTAATTTCTGTTATCACATTTACTGAATGTATTTTATTCTTAATACAGTTGTAAATATCATAAATAAATTAAAATTGTTGTTTCTACATAACAGTTACATATTATTTTCTGTATTTCTGTTTTTAATAACTTAGTCTTGAATCTCCCCTTCTCTTTTTAATTTATAATAATCGAACCAATTACAAATACCTTTATTTACTAAATGAACAGCATTACAATTATCAACTATGAACCATACTGATTGCAGATAAGAATTCCATTTACGACGAAAAAAGAAAAAAAATATTAATAGAAAACTCCATATCAAGATTGTCCGTCTAAATCAGAGCACTGGTCCACATTTATCCCTGGATGATGGACTAGTCCTATCAGGGGTTCCCAGATGGAGCAATTGCGCTATAGAAATTTTCGAGAGGGGAGAGATAATTTTTACGGGTTATGAATTTCTGGAAGGGAGGATGCTTCTTCAACTTGTTTTTTTCTATCTCGATGCGCCCGTGATTGACAAGTTATAAAAGATCAATGGGGCGGGGTGGCCGAATGGGCTAACGCTTGGGCACAGCACCGCTAGTTGCCCGGCAACCAGATAAACGAACGGGGGGATTTTAAAATTATCCTCCCTCACCATCCGGCCCGGAAAAATCCCGTACAGCCTAAAAGGGCAGGTAGGGAAGAACAAGTTATAAAAGATCACGTTTTGTTGTAATATTACATAGAATAAACGTGTAAACGTCAGGGTCAAAACTCGAAAATGTTTAAAAAGATAAACTAATAGATTATATTAATAATGATGTAGAGATGGTTGGCCGTGATATAATACGAGAGGGAGTTGGTCGGGGTGGAGAGGGGAGGGGCGTGCTTTCAAATTAATACTAAATTTTAAAAAAATAGTGTTTATAATTGTTTCGCCGACATTTCGACCCACCTTGCAGGTCTTCATGAGGCCTACAAAAGATACAAAATATATAAGATACATGGTGAAAATAAAATAAATGAATCATAAGTAGATATTAAATAAGAAACAGTTGTATGATAAAGAAATAATTAGATGACATCAGAGATATTGAGGGTGACACTGAAGTTAAAACATCAAGTATTATATTTATATAGAAGATGCAAACAAAAATAGAAAATAAAAATAGAAAACGAAGGACAATAGAGAATAGAATAGAGGAGAAAGAGAAGAAAAAAAATAGAGAAGAGAACAGAATGTAAGTTAATAGTAAACAGATAACAAACTGGTAAAGATTACATATGATAACTGTTGGTTAACAGATAAAGAAAATGAGTGTTGACGAATAAAGAAATCGAAAAATGAATAATGATCCAGTGAAGGTAAAATAAGAATAAGATAAAATTCGGCGAAACAATTAAAAATACTGTTTTTTTTTTTAAATTTAGAAAATAAAAAAATACAAGTAAAAAAATTTAGTATTTATTTGAGCGTACTTCCCCCCCTCCCCCAGACCAACCCCTTATCATAATAGTAATATACTAAAAAAAAAATAATTACTCACAGCCACAAAATATGAGATGGAGAGTACAACTAATAAGTATAGGAAGTGATGGAATTGTGGGAAAGTATAAGAGTTGGGTGGAACCAATGTATAAGGTGGAACCAAAAACATTGTTTTTGTTTTATATTATTATATATATATATATATATATATATATTTGTGTGTGTATATATGTATGTGTGTGGGTGTGTATATTACTAAAATGAGCAAAAAGCTCGAAAGGAAGCATTTTATATAACCTTACTCTTCTATTTCCTTCAGTATGTATTCAGATGGCGTGATGAGGTGTAAATAGCAATTTTGTTTCTTTTTTTTTCTGACTGCATATATGTGTTCTGATGAAGCCTGAATTGGTGAAACGTTGGCTAGCTCACTGTTCACCTGTATGTTGTAGACTCATGGGTTTATAGTTTGGATTGTATATATAATGTTATTGAGCCTTCTCCATGCTTCCTTTTTCTTGAAATTGTTTTTTGAAATCTGGATGAAGTTTCTGAAAAGGGACAAAAATATTTATGGTGAGCTATTAATACTAAATAAAGTTGTTTACTGTAAAAATAAAATGTTATGGATTGAAAAAAGTAGACAAGTTATAAAATAATTTATGCTAAAAATTTGATAAAGGAGACATGGGACGTATGGGTGAGGTTTGGTACACTCTTCCAAACTCTGTCTTTGTTTAGGTCCCATTCCATCCTTCATATTAAATAACAATGTGAATAATTAAAAATTATGGCCACCTTAAAAAAATGTTAAAATAATGATAAAATTAAGTAGTGATACTTAGCAGCACTTATTCTTTGAGATATTTCCACAGTTAATAAAAAACTTTAGCATATCTCAAGGAAACAGAAAGAATACACCGGTTAAACATAGATTCATTTCTCTGTTTAGCTACTCCTTTGTTAATCAGACGAAATATTGTACCACAATATGTAGGGAATTAGTTCTCTAATGCCGCGTTTCCTCAATGAGTAGTGACAAAGTGGTTGCAAAATGTTTAAAGTTAGGACATAACAATGTATTATCCCAACCCTCCCATTTTGGCGACCCTCCCAACTCTCCCCTACTAATGGAAAGCTTTGGCTAATGGAATCAATAAAGATAACGAAGGCCTCAGCAGCCATCGAGCTTAAGTAAGAGCTTCATTTTTAAGCCAAGTCTTTGATAATTTTTATTCCCAACCAACACCTTTCCTGCATAGCTCTTCTTTAATTTCTTTTTCGATTCTAAAAATAATATTTCCAGCGTCAAGATAAGTTACGGATACTTTTAGGAAATTTGTAAGAAGGATAGGAATAGAACATTTTAAGCATATCTCGTCGGCTTATTGCAAAAAGTCGTTAAGTGGCACTTCATAACCTCAAATAATTAAGATGTTTACAATTAATTAAGAAATGATTAAGATTAATAATGAGTTTTTCCTTTATGAAATGATAAAATTATCTGTGTAAATATATAACTATAATATAACCCCTTTTGGATGTATATCATTTTCATGCACTTATGGTGTTTTTCATAGATCAGTAAGGTCGAAATTGCCAAAAATATTTTTGAAAATTAATCTATATCAAAAATATACTTAGTGACCTTTGCAAGAAATCGACGATGTGTAATTCAATCTAAAAGAGAATCAAGACTTCTGTTCATTTTTCCTATTTTTGGTGTCTTAAAGGTTTTTTTTTTTTTTTTTTTTTTTTTTTTTTTTTTTTTTTTTTTTTTTTTTTTTTTTTTTTTTTTTTTTTTTTTTTTTTTTTACAATAAATTAGGCCAATTTTCACCAACATTTTATTGATACGCATTAATTCGACGTTTCGACCATACTAAGGCTCATTTTCAAAACTTGATGAGTCCTCCGTTATATTTTCATCATTAATGTCGCAAATAATATGTTCAGTGAACATTAACTTGTCATATTATATAGGGGCTTCACCCATGTCATTTCTGGAGGGTCTGAGAATCAAGACGTTTCACAAGTTACTCGTTTTTAAAAAAGAATAATAACCAAAGACTTCTAACGCGCAAAACGCAATATCATTTAACCATAAAAAATAAGATTTTTATAATTTAGAACCAGGATCAAACAAAGAGGCAGCGTAAGCTGAAAACCTGACATAAATAATTAATATTCAAAATAATCTTGCTAATAGCATTTACGACTATTGCGATATAGGTAATAGTGGATATTGATAGTTTCAGTATAGAGAGAAAATACAAAATAGTATTGTTCGGTTTTACTAGTAATTCCAGAAAGCAAGAGGAAGAATATTATGATGGAATATCACGACTCATCGACTGCAGGGCAACGCTGCTTGAAAAGAACACTTTAAAAGATAAGTGCCATATTAAACTGGCCCAGCATGAGGAAGTTTTTCACCGAATAAAGAATTTTTTGGAGTGTCAATGTTTTAGGAGTTGAATGAATATTCCACAGATATAATGCTGTTTTTGGCTTTTATCTTTATTTATTTATAAGTTTACAATTCTGAAATGAAAGGAGAATGACACAACATAAAATCAATTATTTATGTTGGAAGCCATTCTTTATCTTGTATTTTTGTTTTTAGGTGATTATGACTATATAAAGGTGAACGGAAGACCCCACGAGGGGGGCACGGAGCTTGCCCCTCTCAACAGCTACCCTTCGACCATGGCCACGCAAGAAGAGGAGCCCCAAAGGGCCGCTTGGGACAATAAGGTCCAGTTCATGCTCAGCATCATTGGCTACTCGGTTGGACTCGGTAACATCTGGAGGTTTCCTTACCTTTGTCAACAGAATGGAGGAGGTGAGTTACTTTTTTTTTTTTTTTTTTTTTTTTTTTTCTATAAATACCATCATTACACCAATGATATCATGGGTGATAAATAGTCAGGACGCAGTCATTATACAATTTTTTTTATTTGTGCCAACGTTTCAACCCAAACATGTGGGTCATCTTCAGGGCGTGGTTCGAGCACTAAAGGCTTTCAAGCACTGACCAATTCTGTACTTGAAAGCCTTCAGTGCTCGAACCACGCCCTAAAGATATGTAGGTCATCTTCCTTCAATAAGCAATGATGTAGGAATGTTGACATATCCTAGTTACTTCACATATACGACATGGCTGTTGAATAAAAGAAAATCCATCACTAATCGAAAATGTTCATATCTGTGCTTAATATCATGTAGCGTAAAGTTTGGGAAATAATAATCCAACTCTACATTTTAGCCATTAATTTGATATTTTTTTTAATGAACTACTTATCTACCTCTTCATAAGAATATGATTTAATATTTGAAGGAAATAATCTTTAGTCTATGATATTGTTATTTTAAAGAAATTTTTGTATACTACAAAACTGGTACAAAGAGCCTGTGCTTAAAGAATTTTATCTCAGTTCAAATGCAGTTTCAATACAAATGCAACGTGACCTGAAAGACGCAGTTGGTCTGATTGTTAGTGATGAGCATTAATATCATCTCATGTTCTCCATCATTCAGCAGAGCACAAAATCTGTTAACTAATACATTATATTTAACGTCAACGCATTTATTAATAACGCAAGGAAGGATAGATTAAATAAAATCTGCCATAAACTTGCTCGTGCCAAAAATGTGTACATTGCCCTAATTTTAATTTTAAAACATATCACTTATCTGTATTTTCAGGTGAAAAGGTATTAAGAAGTGAACTAAACATTAACTCAGGATATATCGTATGAAGGACTTAAGCGATGAAGTCGTTTGTAAAAACCAAGTTTTTCATCGTCTTTTTCTATATTTAATTTTTATTCTCAACTCGTCAATACTACCCATTTTATCAATCCTCTCTTGGTCACGCTCAGTTAGTATGGGCGAAACAAGTTCGGAGTAATCCATCAGGAAACCTCTATACCACAATAAATGCCTTACTAGTAGGCAAGAGACCAGGTTGAAAACCAGAAACTAGATGGATAGATCTAATCACCAAAGATGCTGCAGAACTGCATGCAGTAAAAGAGAAAGTAATAGTTCAAGAGGAGCAGAGGTGGTTGAAGCCGGTTGAGGTATAAAAAGATCTGAAGAAAAAGAAAGGATTTGTAAAGCAAACAAAAAAAAAAAACTTTATAAAGTTTGGGTGTTCTTTCCTAAAAGAATTAAATAAGTATTTACCTGCCTCAGTCAGACTTACACCCGATAGAATAGAACATTGTAAATAACTGGTTGATAATTTCTTATACCACAATGAACGAGTGCAATTATAACTTAATAATAATGAAGTAAAATAAAAATGACGTCATTATTCATGCGAAAATATGGTAGGAAAAAAAAGTTAAAGTATGTAATAACCTTGAAGTTATTGTTATGTCTTATTGACTATTTCAAAGGTCTAATCAATCCGCTGCACAGTGTAGATTGATGTGCCCTTGTACTGTCAGTCTTGATACCTTCAACATTCTTTTTTCTTTATTTATTTATTCAGTAATATAACAATCTGTCACTCGGACAATAATTATAGTGAGGTAAGGACATACTAACACCATATATACATAAAACATACAGTAATCAAAAGCAAAATAACAACTAAATAATTATCAAAAAGTATACACAATAAAAAAAAATAACATTACAATAAGTAAATTAAAAAGCACATACATATCTATATACAATATTTACAATCAGGCAGGGAATCACAAGCCAGGCTATTCCCTCTAAGTATAAGGAAAAGCAGGACTCCAAGAGATCACGGCTCTACTCTCTCAACCACGTCACTAGTGCTAAAGCCAGTGGAATTAGAGCGAGATCGCTTTAGCCACATACACTCATATCTTGTGTGAAGAATCTGGCCGTTGCCGGAACTCCAATATATATACTACAAAAGGTTGCGGGGTCTATTTTAACCTTCTTAGAGGATTATAGGAATGGGTGCTGTTAGGTAAGGATTGTACTAGGAGATTTAGAAGAGAAGTCAGGTTCTAGTGAAATTTTGAGAATTTTTCTAGAATACAGTCCAGGCCAAATGGGATGCTGAGGTCATGGTGTAGGGTTTTGTTGGTTACATAAAACGTAGCATCCACTATTTTTCGAAGGACTTAGGACTGAAAGGATTGGATGCGTTTGATGTTAGGAGATTTTGCTGTTCCCCAAAGTTCCAGTCAGTAGGTCCAAATTGGTTTCAGGATTGTCTTGTAGATCAGTGATTTGTCGTCAATTGAAAGTTGCGATTTTCTAGTCAATAGTGTGTATAGTTGACCATATCGTCTGTTAAGTTCTTTTCTTTTAAGGTTAGTATGTGGGCTCCTTGTTAGCATTTGGTCTAAGAAAAAGCCATCACACCGGACTGTGTAAAAATCAAGTATATCAGGATTGCGGGATAGAATCAGTAGGCCAGTAGGCAGGTGAGTTGGGAGGAAGGAGGGTGAAAGTATGGCAATTCAGTGCAGACCGCAATGTTCTACCACGAGAATTTGTGGTTCTTGAACCCCATTTTGATGCTTGGCATTTAAATCTGCACCCAGGATAAAGTGGTGAGTTAAGGAGTTAAGGAATGAACTGAACTGGACTTTGGCTAAGGATCTGTTAGGAGGAATATGAGGAATTTGAGGTTGATGATGGTTAGGTATGTTAGGATGAACATGATATTGAGGTTGGGGTTGACGTTGTTGTTGCGGCAAGGCTTCAAATTTGTCGGTTGGGTCCTTACCTCCATATAGTTGGAGAATGATCATTATTTTTCACTACTCTAGAAGGTTCTCTTCTTGGTATGCTTGTCTCATCTTGAATCCGGGTCTTCTGGTATCTGGATTTGAGATTCTTATAAATTTGGCAGCCTTTGTAGTTGGCCGGGTGTCGCTCTAAGCATATAGGCCACAAACTGCATGATTTTGTATCAGTTTGGTGAACTCTGCTGATTTGAGTTGTTCACCGCATTACAAGCAACGCAGCAGATAGTGACAATAAGTCTTCGTATGGCCGTAAGCCTGACGATTATGTCACTGTGCGATTTCTCTCTTATCGGGATAGAGCTTCTCAATTTTCACGCTTGTGTCGAATATTCTGGTGATATCATATATTTTATCGACAGCTCCTAGTTATAGTTGCCTGTTTCCAGGGATGATCTATCTTGTCTCCCACATAAATCCTCTCATCATTTTCCTGGGCGAGGTGCCCTGTTATATCTCTTCTAACATCCCGTAGTTTTAACACATCATCACGGATCATCTGGCGAACAAAGTGCTCGATGATTCGTAGGTGGGTATCTTCCCTTAGAAATCATCCTCTTCGACTCTCCTAAGCATCCAACTAAATGTCGAAGCTCGCCTTGAAGGACAATACAATCCCCTCGGGTGGGAATTGTTTTTCCTTCAATGAGCGGAAGATTGGGTTTCTTTCACATGATTCACATTACCTTCATATTTTCAATCATGATTTAAATATCTCGGCTCCATATTTCAACAAATGACCAACTAAGACAAAATAGGCTAAGTACGAAGTGTGGCTATTAAATAACGAGATTATCGCTGTAATATACTTTATTTTGATTGCATACATGTTTACTTATAATCTCCTTCAATATACACCCCTCCTCAATCTCTACAACATTCAATGACAATTTTCATGTTCTGAATCAGTGCTGTAAATCTTTATCTTTCAGCTCCTCGTGCCGCTTTCTCTTTAAGCAAGAACTAATTTTAATAAATAGTTTGACCTTCAGAAAACCAGTTAAGGTGCACAATCCCACAGATATATAAAAAACTATCACCATTTCTTTGAATTTTGATTTGCACATTTGAGCTTTTTTGCCACTCGGTGAAGTTAGGCTCTTCCAGTGCATGGATCGGCGCTGCGCGTGTCCTGAAGGAGCTGACAGAAGAAGACTTTCTGTAATATTGAAGACAATGGTAGATTCGCATGTAGCTGATGTTGTAGAGATAGAGGAGGGGGGTATATTGGATATGGTAAAAAGCAAATATCTATGAAATAAAAATAAAATGTTTTACAGCATCAGTCTTGTTATTTAATTGCTATACCTATTATTATGAGCATAAATAAAAGGCTCTCTTTCAAGATATCCCTAAATATGTGAAGTCAAGCGTGAACAATACCTTGATAAGGTCAGTTATGGTATATAACTGCAAGACCTAGCCTCTAACATATTTATTAGAAAGCAGATTCGAGAGAGAGATTGGAAAGGAAGGTTCTCCGCACAAAAAACGAAGTCAGGTTAACCAGCTCCGGGATTAGGGTCTTGTCAATATACCTTATGATATGAAGGCAAGGAGGTTAAAATGGGAGGAACACTTTGCTTGAAGCAATATATATAAACCACTATAAATCTTTCTTTTCTTTCACTGTAGGGCAAGATTATAAGAATAATTAAGTCTGGATACATCACCAAAATATAGTTTATTTATTGACTTAACCTCCAGATTTTATTTAACAGTCCAGAAAATAGGAAATAGAAATATATAGTGTTTAGTAGTCAAGCGAATCATTATATCTATTTTTATCAGCCTTAAAATACCTCTTTGTAGAAGAATGGTCAAGTTTAATAGATTTGAACGAATGTGGTTTAATAGTCGGATACTGAATAGTTTCACGCGACCGAAACACGATATTGAAAAGTAAGAGTACCTATTTTTAAACCGGAGAGCTATAAAACTAAAATATAATTAACTTGAGCTATCAAACTCATCGCAGCTGAAACTAAATCATTTGTTCTTACTGTAGCTTAATAAAGCACCACAGCGCTATGGAAACTATTATCGTTTCGAGATAAGGGTGACTTTCATTAAGGATAAGAAGTTAGCTATCTGGTGTAATAAA